CCAGGATAAAAGTAGTCGCTGAACATATTTCTTTGGGATGGAAATCTCTGGCATTTTTTATTTGAATAGCAATTGCTTCAGGCGTCTGTAGGATTCTCAGTCTGATGGAATTAGGTATACTGCTGATAACATGATATATTATTGTAAAAGATTGTTCCATTTCGACTGTATGTCTCGCTTGAATTAAATGAGCTAAAATGGAGCTGTTAACAGTTTTAAATACACGTTCACGTAAACACACTGACTTGTGCTCACGAGCCCGAATATGCAAATTCCTAGAACATCTGCCGATACAAATTGCTCCATATGAGCATTTGAACTGATAGATGGAGAAAGAAGTGGCTTACTTACAGACTTAGCCCTGTTACCCTTCGTGAAGGAGCATAGGCTAACCACCAGCATTCTCCATCAAACCCTATTCTGGTCAACCCTTTCCAGTTCTTTCCAGTTGTTATTTATCCTTTTCATATCTGCTTCTATTACCCGATGTAATGTGTTCAAAGAAGTGGCTACTCTGAGCAATTTATCTTTCGATCCTAGAGTGATCATTGGATGTGTGGAAAACTTTAATTGTAGTTTACCTGCATTAAAAGTTCTTTGGATTGATCTGTGTAACTTTAGTCTTTAGCATTTCAGAGTATTTGAAACACAATAACTAATTAAACATTAGTCAGTTATCATTGTCCATATACCCTGTTTATTATGTTCATTTACTTCCGGGAAATAACATATCTATACTTTTTAAAATATTATGAATGCCTTGGAAACAAAAAGCACACGTCACTTTTACTTGAAGTTTGTGCTGATGATGTAGTTCAGAAGGACGATGAAAGCTCCATGTCCAAACCGTCCAACTCAGAGAACAAAACTCCATCAAAATACAAAATAGCTTACTGTAAAGATCAATCTGAGTTCGAATTAAGGATAGTATTTAACCATTGTAATGAACAAAAACATGGGTAGGGACAAATTACAGACTTTCTGACTAAATTCTGATAACCATACCGTAAACAGTTAATTTGCAAAATAACCATCATTTGTCTTAATCTTAACTGCTCCTTCTGCGAATATCAGTTCGTCTTCTTTAACTCCATTGTTCATGCATTATCATACCGATTTGGCTTCATTCCTGTTCGTTCCTTATCAATCTTCTGCCAAAATACATTCTATGCCTGATCATCACCATATACTACTTATATGGATATAAGTAGACCATACTACACCATTATAAAGTTTTTCTTATAATTTAAATAGAAAGCATCAAGTCTCTTACCAAATTGTAACGTTTTTTCTGATTAAGATTGCATATACCCAGAGATGAGAGTATGATAATGAATTCAGTTTATTCAAGTTTCAATTATGAATTAATAACCTATTATTAGCTACACTTTAATAATGGTATGATCAATCATTCCTGCTGAGAACCGATATTGATTAATTTCTGAATAGTTACCAATATCTTGTTCATTTTGTCTTTAATTATGATCCAATTCTATTGACCAGGTTGTAATATGATCACAAATCTAGGTTACTAGACATCAATTGTACTATGCTTATTGATTCTGATTAGTGTCTATACAACTATGCGGCCTAATGATTTAAGTTTATAAAAGTAAATTGCTGATAAATGTCTAATGGGAGGAAACCTAGATGCACATCTTTCTGTCGATTGTGTTGAACCTCCTTACGTTAAAATTCAACTCTTCTATACAATCTAAACAATCTATCGTGACTTAAATTTTAGCCAATTTTTATGGGGGGGAAGGTCAGTCGGTCAGCTACAACGTAGGACCAGGCACATTTATGCATCGGTCCAAGTTACCATACCTCATCAGCACAACAAGATGAACACCGGATTCATAAAAGTAGTTAATTTAGTGATGGTGGTATATAAAAGAAAGGTTGTATATAAGGATATAGTATAGGAAGGAAAAAAGTTATGAAGCAATTTTAATCTCAAGGTTTAAGGAAAGATAAGGAGTGTATACACCTACACCATTGTGATCGATTCTAAGCCATGTCACCCAGAGTCTCCATCCATTGATTACAATAGTCACGCGGACCCCAACAGGGTAGTCTGCATCTGCCAACATGGCTCAGGCTAGAAGTTAGTGACTTCAGGCACTGATGCCACGTTTTGGTTTGGCCGCCCCTAACTTTCTTCCAACCATCCATAGTACTAGTCAGCATAGCGCGTTGTGGTAATCGATTGGGGGGAAAGGTAACTATTCAATGTGACCACTATATTTTCTTGGATATTTTTCTCACAATTATAAAAGACATGCAGTTCATACAGATTTGGCATCCAAGTCATATGGTTATTACATAAGTTTTCATTATAGATAGAGATTATAAAGTTGACCTTATCACCAAATCAATAATGATTAGATCTATTTTAGACATAATAGTGAACTTTACATAATACAGTAGCTTCAATCATTCATTTTTATTTAACCTTTAATGAATGAAGCAAAAATGTGATAAAAAAAGATTACAGAAGAAAATAATAACCAAGTGATTTTATAGTAAAGATCGTGAGTCAATTGAAGCTGGACAACCATGGAAAACCTGAAAGCATTGGATGGCTGTTTCATCCTATTGTGGGACTCCTCAGTATTGCTCATCCATGATCCCGCCTCTCGAGATTCTAACACAGGACCTATCGGTGTCGCGCGTGAACCTTTAGAACCACTGAGCCGGCATGTACCGGTGTTCATGTCTAACTTCAGCTAATCCACGAAATCACTCCAACGTCAACCAATGTCTTCAGTAGGTTACTATCTCACAACAGACCTGTTGGAACTCCATTGGCCACTGCTTCTCACTAGAACTTCAGAAAATACCTCTTGAATCTAGTTACTAGTGAGCATATGATTGTTATTATCAGAAGGGATTTTGTGGAGATTTCAAAAGTTTTATTCCTGGGTTCGAATCTCGAGAGGCGGGATCGTGGATGCGCACTGCTGAAACGGCTTTCCAGTGCTTTCAGGTTTTCCATGGTGATCTAGCTTCAATTGATTCATGATCTCAGCCATATGGAACTTATCAGCTGAATACATTGATAACTGCATATATTATTAAGTTTAAGGTAATTAAATATTCCCTTAATAGTTAGACCATTAGATAGAACTCCAATAGTTCACAGTTTAAAACTTTTTTCAATATACAATGATCTGATTTATAATTTTAATCCAGAACTTATAGAAACCTGTCATCATAGTAACTTACTCTATCCGAACTGATCTACCATCCAACAGAAATAAACAAGATAGAAGTATGAAAACATTTAGTCAGATGAGACTATAATTTATGAACAACCTTTGAGTAACTCTAAAATAACCTTGAAAATGTCTATTTATTTACTGGAGTTGAATGAGGGTTATGAATAAGTGCAAGGAACTGGGATTAGAATTTATAATTAAACTTTAGGGTTAGAAACCATACGAACTGACATCAGCTATAATACTGAAATGGTATTTAGGAAATCAGTCAATATATTTCGTTCCAAAATCTAATACCTTCTATCTTAAACTTGATTGATTCTTTTATAAATTATAGTCTCAATGTTAGTTGATAGCAAATAGTTTTGAAATATTTTAAACTTCATAAGGAAAGATTGACAGTGGTTAGCAGTGGAATCTAGTTTGAAGCGCGTTTTGTTCCATTTGGGACTCGTCAGCTGGATGTACCTGCATCTCAGAGTTGATGTTCATTCTGGGACTCGAACTCAGTACCGTTCGCTTCAAACGTCATCTCGTTGTCCACTTAGCTATTGAGTCCTGATAGGCACTTGCTAGTGCAATGGGGTGAAGTTTGAATTTACTTGATATTCTTTGTTTGAATCTTCTCATCGATTTGTTAGGACTGCAATTGATCAGTCTGTTATTGGCATATATGCATACTGTGCTTATCGCCACGATATAGCTTTACTTCACAAGCATTATAAGCAAATATGGAAAGTTGTTAGCAATGGAATTCAGGATGCACGTTACATCAATAAGAAATTGATCAATTGGAATCATAAACATCGAAGGGAAGATTCAAACAAACTATATCAAGTGAATTTTAAACTTCACTTTATACTGAATAGATTAGAAATATAAATTTAGTCTTTGAAAAAGAAAGAAAAAATGATCATTTTATAAACTAAAGTACAATCAAGATATGATGATTTTTTTTAATCTTTTTTCATGTCTATTCTCTTAACTGTTTACTGTTTTTTTTTTTAAAATTTAAACAAAGTTAGCAACAAAAAAAGAAAAAAAAAGAGAAAAAATAAAGAAAAAAAGAAAAACGAAAAAAAGTTTTGTTAAAATTACGTAATCAATATTTTATCTTCAACAGGATCAAAAATATCATTTTATTGAAATTAGTTTACATTTTGATTATGTAATCTAAGGATTTCCAAAAGAAAAAAGAAAAAAATCAAAAAGAAGTTTTCTTAAAATTACGTAATCTATATTTTGATAATCTTATTTAAAGATTTCAAAAAAAGTAGAGAAAAAAGAATGTAAAGAAAAAGAGAAAAAAAAAGAAAGAAAAGAGAACGATATAAATCTGTTAAATTATTGATTATATCAATGAAATGATGATGTTCTTTCAGAATGTTTTTTTTCTTTTTTTTTCTCTTTTTTCTTTTTTTTATATGATGCTGGTTGTCATCTAGCACAAAACATATAAATATACATAGAGACATATCTATCTATACCTAGAAAGATTCACACTGTTCTATAACTGATCATTAAGTGTATTTTTAATTTGTTCTTTACTCTAAGTACACAAAAAAAAACACCAAAAAAATTTTTTTAGATGTACACAGTTTAACTAAGTTTCATTATCATTCAATCAATATTAGAAACAATTTTTGGTGTATCCATTTTTGACATTGTGGTAAAAACTCAGCACCCCATGAATTAAAATTAAAAAGATTTTTTTTTCTTTTTCATTTTAAATGAAAATACTTCTTAATTGATTTAAAATCTTTTTTTTTCTTTTTTTTTCGTTTAGTGTTTGGTTACTATGGTATAATATCTTATATAGTTGATGGATTAAAAATAAATGATTATTGGACATTAAGTCAGTTGCCTTTTTTGTTGAATAATTATAATCAATTCATAATATTTATAACTCCACCTGTAGCTCCTCCGGGGGCTACTGCCGGTCCCAAGCCTGGATAAAGGACGAGTGTTGAGTATGAGGTTAGTGACCTCATCCGTCAAAAAGCTAACACGCTAAAAAAACGCTAACCAGATAACGTTAGCCATGATATTTATGATATTCACATGTAAGTGAAATAGATATCAGTGATATGGTAATCAACGTTTTAACTAGTTTAATTGGCTACATTGATATGGTGAATGGAACAATGTTAGATTACCATTGAAAATGTAGGAGAACTGGATAATCGTTCTAGCATGGGATTTCTCAGTATTGTTCCATTTATGATATCTATCTAAACTGAACAATCTACACAAATCCACATACTGAAAAAAATCATGTGCTCACTAGTGAATAGCTTTGAGATGTAACTCCTGGGGTTCTAATGGGAAGCCAGGACTTGTGGAGTCCAATACGTGTCAGGTTTGAGACAGTTATCCATTTAAGACAATTGATGAAGAGTTGCACAAGATCATGGTTTGGTTAAAGATAGACATGAAGATTGTTGGATGCCGATTCAGTTGTCTGGAACTTAAGCGTTCACATACAAGAACGAAGGTCCCGGATTCTATTCCCACAGCGGTATCGTGGACACACAATTGTGAGAAGTCTCATACTTTAATAAAACAGCCATCCAGTGCTCTCAGGTTTTCAATGATGGTTCCGTTTAGATCGACTCATGATTTCAACTGTAAAAATGCTATAATCTCCACAAATCACTGAAGTGATAAAAATATTAAATACTTAATAAGTTATTCTTCGACAACATATATAGGGAAGATTACCAACTTTCAAGATATTTCAATATAAGTCTTAAACGAAAAATGAACTGTTATAATTGATGGATAATTCTTTCTTTGGACTAAAACATCGTTACTAGACAGTATAGTACATTCTACTTCAACACTTCTTCATTTTATGCTACAATAAAAATATACATCTGATCAAAACGCATACTTATCAGTTCTAAATAATTTTCGGGATCGTTTCATCATCACTGAAGAGCTTCCATCTACGAAGTAGTATTTATTTATTTTTTTGTAGATCATAGTTACCTCAACTAACATTACTTAGTGATGAATACAATAATCTGATGTTTCAATGAAAGTCTAAAAATGTCTTTTCACGATATTAATAGGGTACATTATATTTAATCTTCACAATACATCATGATAAATGACAGATGTTTACAAGGCTGAAACAAGTCACTTTCAAAAAAAAAAAAAGAAAAGAAAAACAATCATAATGACAGTAAACTGTTTCTTCTGTAAAAGTTTAAAATAAATAATCAAGCGATTAAAACACACTTTATCCATTTAGGGTTTCCTTTTGAAAATATCACTTGAAAAATTCACTTGTTTATGTCATAATATAAAACAATCAAAATGGAATAAAACCATAATAGAGTGAACCAGTACTTAATTCAACCAGTTCAAAATATGAAAGAAAACATTAATAGAAACTAGAACAAATGCCAATATTCTTTTAAAAAAACAAAAAAAGATCACTAATTAATGAGGTCGTTTTAAACAAAAAAAGAAAGAAAAAAGAAAAGAAAAAAACACAAACCGGTCTAATATGATGTACAATGTTCAATTAACACGCACACACACACACACACACAAAAGTAAATAAGTAATTACATACATACACGCACCCATACATACGTCCATGCATACATAGTGATATACATAATGAATTTGATCAACTTACTAAATTGTTTATTTCTATATGTAAATATCCAATTTTTTTTCAAATTGAAATAATAATACTCAGAATATTTAATATTCAATGTTATAAAATCTTATTTATATACTTTGATCATATTGAGAATAATGAATCTGTAACAGATTTAACCTTTTGATTGATGATAGTCAATAAGATAAGATCAATAAAGGCACTTGGCAACAAAAAAGTTTTTTTTTCTTTTTGTTGTTTCCTTCAATGTTTATCAATGAATGAATGAATTGATTAATTGACATGAGCTGGTTTACGTATAACACTAATAGATGGTTCATTGACATGATTAAATTGATTAGATTTTATAAGATCTGAATTTGTTTCTTCTATATCTATATTAGGGATAGTTTTAATGTCATTATATTGTAATTCTGTTGGATAATGATGTAATACTGTTGTAAAATTAGGTGTATATTGAAAAGAGATTAAGTCGTCTGGTTTACCTGATAGGTTATCTTCATGTTTCATAGATGGATGAAGTTGTTGTTGTTGAAGGTGGTGGTGTTGTTGTTGAACTATGGGCATAGGACGATTATTAGTCAATGGTGTAGTAAGATCATTTTGTTGTTGTTGTTTAATTGTTTGTGATAAATTTTGATGGGATTTCTTAATTTGATATAATAATTTTTTACGTGTACTATCACCATAACATACACTATTACGTGAATATCTACCTAATGAACCAGTACGTGTTATACCATTTTTTCCATCAGAATGATTTGAAGGTGCTGGACTAACTGAACCATTTTGACATTGTAATAATAAACCACGTTGTGTTGAACTAATTGAACCGCGTGATGGTATTGGATAAATAGTTATTAAACCAGAATTATCATTATATGATGCAATAGGTGCACCAGATATAGGATAACCTGATATTTGTGCATATTGTGTACCTAATGCTGAATAGGAAATAGGAATATTTTGTAAACCATTTTGTGGATCACATGTACTCATATTACTTGCTGTCATTACAATATTATTCATACTAGCTGTTTCACTTGGTATATGTGTTATACCATAATGTCTTGGAGATTGATCTGTAATAAATAATGGTGATACTTGACTCATATTTACTTTACCATTAACTTGACAAAATGGTGTCGGTGATGGATGAGGTTCTTTACAAATACTAGCTTGAGATGATCGTATCATACGTCTTTTATAAAAATGCGGATTTTGTCTAAGACGTATACATAATGTTAATGAAGTCATTGCAAAAACTACACACATAAAACTAATTAAAGCACAGGCAACACGTGATATAACTAATTGCATATATAATTCCCGATTTTGTCGTTCAGCTTTAGTTAGTGCTGCAATATTAACATTAGTTCCAGCTATTATACTAGTGTTATCTTGTTTAGATACATTCATATTTACATCTTGTATAGTTGAAGGACATTGTTTACGTAAACAAAGAACATGTTGTGGTGTTAAAACTAAATGTTCTGAAGCTAATGGATTAATTAATTCAAGTTTTAATTGTTTATCTGGACGTAGAACAGCCATTAAATTTAAATCACCAACACGATCAGCAAGAAAAAAATATCTTGGATCATTTGCTAATTGTTTTGATTGACCAATACCCATGACTTCAGCACGTATTAATATATCTAAACGTTCTAAATCAATTAATGATGCTGACCATTCTTTATTAATAGATTTTAATTCTTTATCAGCTTGATTGATATCTTCATCATTATTCATTAAATCATTATTTGGATGATCATAAGATGAGATAGGTATTATTTCACCATTTAATAATTGTAATCTTTTACATGCTGTAGCATGACCATATGCATCTAAAGTTGATGTTGGTGGAGATGTTAACCATGCATATGTAATATTACATTGACCTAAACGTCTTAAACCAGCTTGACCTAATATTGTATAAGAATCAGCAGGTAATAAACGTCTTGAACGTAATGAATATAATTGATTTTGTCCATGAACATAATATATAAAAGAAGTAATAATTGATAATAGAAAAAATTCATTAAAATACATTGTATCTAATTATTAATTGATTGTTTCAGTTAAAATAAATTTTTTTTTCATTTTTAGCATAGTTACTAATTGGTATTTGTGTTCTCATAGCAACAAGAAAAAATTTTAAAAAAATAATAATTTACACATAATCCATTATTATGAGATGATAGAAATTAATCCTGATTCACTTTCTATTATACTTTTTTATTAAATTGTTACTATGATATTTTGTTTTAATATATACATCGCTGTTTAATATTGAATAAGATGGAATATTCTATTTTGATTTTTTATATAGATATATAAAATATTATTATTGCTGAATTTTGATTGGTTAATTAAAGTAATAATCTGATTGGTTTATATATTTAAATAGGCACAAAATGTTCATTAGTATTGAATAACTAAATTATTGAAGTGTAGTATATTTGATAAATTTTTTTTGTAATGAATTGCAGTATTATAAAGTGATTAGTGTAGTGTGAATGAGGAAAATAAGTGGGGAGGGGAATTAATTGTATTTAGATACATTATAGAACATCTTAGTAAAATCTTAGATCCTTTAAGGTGAATAGTTCATTTGTAAACTGTTAATCAATTGTGTTAGACTTTATTATTTCTTTGAATCCATACTAATCATCCTCTTTTCTTGTTCTCTTTGATTTTCTCAATCTTCTTCTGCTAGGTATTGCATTTTTGATTGGTGACACATACTACTTATATCTGTCGACATTAGCAGCACACAACACACTAGTTTGTAGATTTTGATAAAAGAAAATGGTCAAATCTAGTATAATTAGCATATAGATAGTAGCGGAATCAAAGAAGCACGTTTATCCGACAGTACCTGATCACAATATTGATCTACAGTTCAATGAGATCGGAACTTAGTACCTATCATTTTAAATGTCAATAGACTATCAACAAGTAGGACTAACTTGCGTTCTGGATTTAATTACCATTCACTGACTAAATATACAAAAACTTTTTGAAAGAAAACAATCCAATCATTATATATATATATATTCAATAACTGAAACTGATCAATTACAGTACTATATATCAGTAATGGTAAGCTAAATGACCTTATCATTACAGGGTAAGAAAGTCCCCAAAATATATTATTGAGTTCTTTGAGAAGCATTTATTTGTTTTGATATCACTGACGAGATTTTATGTAAGGCTGAAATAATATGTTTCACGGAGATTGAATTTGGGTAGAAAGTCATGGGACCACAAGGGGGAGTAGTACCTATATATAAGTAAAAGGCTACCCGATTAAAGTCATGAAATAATCATCATACTCGTAAAAGGTGATTTTTCACGGTCAAGGGAAATTGATCTCATTATTTAAATGTGAGTTCTAAAATTCCTCAGATGTTTTAGAATATCAGTGTCATGCTTGAATAGAACTTAATAAATCACGTGTGAACTACTAACTATTGACTTCATGATCTAGAGATTAGATCTTCGTTGTCGGACCTAAAACACATGAGTTCAATTTCTGTAGGTTTGCAGATTTGCCTAACTGATGAGTTACATACTAAGACCAAACAATTATCCAGTATTACTTGGTTTTTAATAATTGTCTAAATAACATGAATCAATCAAATAAATCACGAAAACTATAGTATTTTCAATCAACGGATTTCATTATGAATTACTTTTTCTCATTTAGATTTCTTGACTTAGTGGTCTAGAGGTTAAACGCACGTGCTCGAGACTGATAAGTCCTTGGTTCAAATCTCGAGAGTCGGGATCGTGGATGCACACTACAGGACGAAACAGCCGTTCAGTACTTCCAAGTTTTGCATGGTGGTCTCGCTTTAATTGACTCGTAGATTCAACTATAAAATTTCAAGTTTGTCTAAAGCTCCAACATGAGTAATTACAGAATGTTAACCATTGGCGGAACAACATAAACTAGAAAACCAGTCAACTATCCCAAGATTAGTCGTCGATGATAAAGTAGACCCCTAAAACTAAACTTATTAAACCGAAATAAGATTTGTCACATGAATTGACGCGATTTTCTCGAATTTTCTGATATTAGAAATGCAAACTATAAATAATGAGACAGTAGTTTAAAGGTATAATGACCGTCGTAAAATCTCAAAGTCCTGTGTTTGATTGCTGATAGTATTGTAGGTAAACATTACTGAGTGTGAAACTCCTTCTTTGTCAAATATTCTCCAGAAGCGAGGGTACTGGTTTCGAGTCTCAGAGTGAGCATCAACTCTGAGATGCAGGTACATCCAGCTGACGAGTCCCAAATAGGACGAAATGCTTGCCAAACTGGATTCCACTGCCAGCCACTATCCATCTTTGCTTACCATGCTTGTGAATTAAGGCTATATCGAGGCAATACGCACAGTATGCACACATGCCAATTAGAGACTGACCAGTTGCAGTCCTAACAAATCGATGGGAAGATTCAAACAAACAATACTGAATAAATTTATTCTTCAAATGACTTCAACTCATGATCGAATCTGTTTGTTGGAAACATTTGATGGAAAATGCATCCACTTGGTCAAAAAGTTAAGCTTATACCTGTACATAAGTCTCTGATGATTAATCGAATACAGTTTACATATTCAGTGATCCAATACTTGGTAAATATAGATTCGTTTATACTTTTTCCAGACTATGAACTAGATAAGAAAGCTGTCTCTATGAAATTCGAATGACGTTGGTACCAAAAAACAATAAATTACCAATCAATTGTAGTAAGCTTTATAGTTAGTAACGGACAATTATACATCACTGATATGATGCGAAAGTTTATTATGTAATCATACCAATCCAAAGCTTAATGTCCTTGAAATAATCATTATCGAATACGTAAAGTGATCTGGGGTAATGCTAAAAGCGTTCAGTTGAAAAACCGATCAAATACTGACGAGTGAACGAATTTCAGAAGAAATTCCTGAAAATTCGCAAATTGTAATTTCATCAAGTTGAATGTATGACAACTATTTAATAATTATAATCGAAGACGGTAAGAGTACGGTATGTGCTACTGATGTCGATAGATATAATTAGTATGAAACATCAATCGAAAGTAAAATGTCTGGCGACAATAGGTCAAGAAGATAGTAGAGAAGAGAATGAGAACAGAGAATGATTGGTGTGAAAACGAGGGAACAATGAAGTTTGGGACAATTGATTGAAATCTTGCAAATGAATTATTTACTGTATGATTCTGAGACTTCATTAAGTAATTCTGTAAGTTTTTATATTCAAATACAATCGATTGTTCCCACTTGTGCTCTCGTTCATTACAATAGTATAGTACAGATTAGCTGAAACCAAAAATATGAACCAATAAGGTTTACACCAGTCGCTTAATAATGTTAGGCATTTTGTAAAACCAATCTTATATCGATCTTGTATTATGGTGTTAATACTATTTTTCCACAGTTTAAAATTTAATTTCAGCGGCTTTATGGTGCCGACATTTTTTCTTTTTAAAAATTCATGGATTACATAATCAATCAACTGATTTTGACAACGATTTATCTACATTATGACCACTATCAATTAGATGTGCCAAGATAAAACTACGTATAGTTTTTATCTGGCCCTTTCCAAACCCTGCTTTTAGATGTTCACTCATTTGTCGTTTAAGTTGCCTGATAGTACGTCCGATATAGTTATCTCCACAGGATCAGCTGAACTTGTAAATGCACAAAGTGGAGGCCAACTCAGGTAACTTTTCCTTCGTTTGTGTAGACATCGCTGGTCGACTCGAGAAAGTCAACGCAAGATCGGCTGAGTAGAATGCCATCCTCTATGTACATTTACAAGTTCAACTGCTCCTGTGGAGATAACTACATCGGGCTTACTACCAGGCAACTCAAACAACGAATGAGTGAATATCTACCAGCACGATCATAAAGGGGTTTTTTGTGGATATTTTAGTAATTTTTTATAGTTAAGATCATTAGTCAATTGAAGCTAGACCACCATGAAAAACCTGAAAGCACTGGACGGCCGTTTAGTTCTATTATGGGACTCCTCAGCAGTGAGCATCCACGATCCCACACTCGCGAGATTCGAACCCAGGGCCTGCCAGTCTCGAGCCAGAGCCCTTAACCGATAGACCACTGAGCTGGCATCCAACGGTGTTAATGTCTAACCTCAACCAATCCACGAAATTGCGCGACCAACTTCCAATTTACTGAGGTAGATACCTGTCTCTACCTGACATGGATTAGCTCCACTGGCCACGACTTCTCACTAGAACTCGAGGAATTACCTCATACAGCCAGTCACTAGTGAGCATATGATCATTATCACAAGGGGGTAGACTGGTACGTCCTGATTTTGATAACTCAATAAAATCAATCATGTTTAGATGAATTAATCAAAAACTCTATAAACTAGATTCAGTAAGTTGTAGGATATTTTTTTAGAAAAAATTCAAATAAGGTCACTAATATGATAAGAATTTTGATAATCAAGTTCTAGGGTGAAAATCACTTTACATGGTCTGTACTTAACTATAAGTACAAAACCTCAATTATTTGTTATTTAAACATGTCATTCAATAGTAAGCTGTGTATTATAATATTTGGTCATTTGTAAATCAGAATGGCGGGTTTGTGGTGATTGTGGTAATTCTAGTAGGTGAATTCATGAGTCGATTTAAGTTAGACCCCTATTGAAAACTTGGAAGCACTGGACGACCGTTTCGTCCTAGGATGAGACCGCTCATCAATGTGCATCCACACATCCACAGTCTCGAACCTAGGATCTTAGGTTTCACGCACGAACGCTTAACCTCTAAACTACTGAGCTGGCGTCTAACTGCATTATTGCCTAACCTCAACCAATCCACGTTATTAAGAAACCGTCCACCACTATCTTCAGGGAGTAATTGCCTATTGCTTACCAGTTATGAGTAGTAAGCAATTAACATATTACCATTGATTTTTTCCTAGATGGTACTGGTTAACAGGACATATTCACATGCATTGGATAATGAAACCTGTTCAAAAGATTTCAACCATGTTCGTTCTTTACATTTTCTTAGAAAAAATGTTTTGTTATTGAGTTATTCACTCCTTAACAGTTAAGTTACACGTTTGAATAGCTCAAGTTAACTAATCATTAATTAGAATATGATGTCATGTAGTCTAGTTTGAAATATTATTATACTGTGTTAGATATGTTTCAATCAAAGGAGTTTGTGCTGATGATGTCGTTCAGAAGGACAATGAAAGCTCCACAACCAAACCATTCAGCTCAGAGAACAAACCTACATCAAGA